CGTAAATTGAACTAACATACCTAATATTTTTAATTGAGATTGTTGCAAGAATATTATAAGATTATTCTACCTATTTCTAGATACTTGTTTTAAGTAATTTTATCTAGTGATGTTATCTAGTTCCATAGGCATATAATGTTCTTCAGTTAAGCTACCCAACTTGTCTGCCAATTAAATAAGAAAATGTCACAAGACAAGATAAATTTACCTTAAAAAGTAAAGTTTACAAATAGGTTAAATAATCTTGGAATGTTCTTAGTCACATAAGGGAATAATATTAGATATACTGGCTACATCTAAGATTTCACTGGAAAATATCATATTTTGCAGTGTTGATCATGCCTCTAGCAATTGTATTTTTATTATCCTTACATGTAAAGCTGTATTATGTACTTACAGGTAATTGTGTTCTGTGATGGAAAATAAAAGTGATTGATCAAATCTTTGTATTTTTCCTTTTAAGTTCATCAGAGGAGGAAGGATCGAGAAAGCTGGAAGACATCTTAACATTTGCTGCAGGGTCCAATGCAGTACCACTGATAGGAGGTAGCCTGTAGCCAAATGGCATGACATAAATAAAGACTAATGTGATCTAGAAGATCTATCAGCAAATTGATGTTAGATTTCCTTCCCATCTACCATAATTCATTAGGAGTTGAGACACTAAACTATATGGCTAATGGTTTGCTTGCGACGACTGGGTCAATTTCATGCAGGATTTGGTGGACTGTCCATCACTGAATGTGGACACGTCTCAAACGCAGACTGCCCCAACATATCTTTCACCAGCATGAGGCGTGTTTTCTAAAACGTGTCTAATTTTTACCATCAAATTCTCATCCTGATAAGGATGTGTATTTTAGCAGTGGAGCAACAAACCATTGTCTGTGTCGAAATAAAGTCCATCAATCTATTCCAAAAAGTGAAGCAAGTGCCAGCAGTTGTTGTTGTTGGTGGAACTCTGAGAACATTGCTGGCAGCAGGTGGCACTGAGGGCCTCTGTACACTTTTAAGTCTGTTTGTCTGGACTGGGAAAACTGGTGATGTGGAACACCAAGTAAAATTGTTTCCAGGTCAGGTAAGCTCCGCTTTTTTCCTCTCTCTCTCTCTCTCTCTCTCTCTCTCTCTCTCTCTCTCTCTCTCTCTCTCTCTCTCTCTCTCGGATCACACGTTATACTGGTCAGGTGACACAGCACTGCTGTGAACTGTTTTAGGCAGAATCTCAAATGGCTCCCTAGACCAGGCAAAGCATAGTACATAGGTCTTGACATTGTGGCTATTGCATCTAAACAGTGCACAGCATGACTAACAAAGAACAACTTTGGATTCAGGCCATGTGTGCACAATCCTATACTGGACATAAAGTGCAATATTTGGGTGTTTATTTTTGCAATTTTCACTTTACCTACTTGTTTTATGTTAAAGAATGACTGAAGTGGCGCAATCCGATTGTGTGCCCTAATGTAACACAGAGCTGTGTGGACTCACAAATCAGATATTTTCAAATCTGACCTGAGCCACTTTCTATGTGGTCTTAGATTGGATTTGTGGACATGCGACCTTAATGAGAATGCTCAGGTTGGAATTCATTGCACGATAGTTGAGTGTTACCATGGCAGCAGTGCCTAACCCGAAGTTAGAGCCAGTTACCAGTGCAAAAGCAACACATCCGACCCTTTTCACCTTCATCTTGTTCTAGTAATGCGCAACTGAGAGCTGTTCAGAGCTAATTACCTTCACGATAAAAGCTCATTCTGCTGTTTAGTTTGTATGCTGTTAATGGCAAATGATTTATTTACATGACGCTACAGATCAGATTTGAGTCACTTACCTAAACGAGTGTGAACTATGTTAGAGAGACCAGATCGGAACAAATAACTGAATTTGGCAATGAGGCTTGTAATGTGAACATAGGCAGATTTCTAGTGACATGACAAACAAAATCAAGGCCAATGCCAGGGTGACAAAACTGCTGGGATTCAGGAAGAGCACAAAAGATTAATGCTTATGCCAGAGAATTTTGAAAATTTGGAGGGCAAGATGATGAAGCTTCATCTCTCTCCTACATCCACCTTTGAAATCCACATCACCAGCATAGCTACGTAGTTATTGATGCCTACATCGTTATCACAGCAACCCATGCAGGTAGGTTGGTGATATCTGGACACACAAATCCAATCTGATCACTTGTAAATAACAGTGCAGACAGATGTCTCAAAAGCTTGTGATGCTGTCCAAAGGTAGCCCCAGTAACTTCGACGGCAGGTGGCATCTGAGGTGAGACAACTTAATTATCTGACATTTAAAAAGCTTAGTAAAACATAATGACTATTTTGTATGATATACAAGAGCAGAATATGACCTGCCATGACAGAAAGAAGCAGGAACACCACATACACCCCAAGGTGTGTTTCAAGTATACCCTCAAGTATGCCCTGCTATTTTTGCCGCCACTATTACCTTACCACCACAGTTACATCCCACCTCAAGTTCCACATCACAAGCTCAGTTTTATGCAACTGCTTTATGACAGTGAGGCAAATACATATGTTCAGTATTAAATTAGAAATGCTTAATGTGCCTTTATGCTCAAAACGATGGCATTATGTTCATTACAGTTTGAAAAGTCTAATGTGACGTTTGTTTTGTAAATTATATGTCTATTTAGATTGCACCACTAAAGGTTATAGTTTAGTAGGTGTAGACATACAGGAATCTGACAAAATAATAGAAACACTACATTATATTGTAACCCCTGTGGTCTGGCTGTGTACTTTAAGCCCTGCCCAAATTGAGGCTGGAACATAACAGTACATATGACAGGGGTAACAATACACCACTGGCTCCCTAATTTCTAATTTATGACCTTCATAGATGCAAAACAAACGTATGATGCAACAGAATATCAGAATAATGTCCATTCAATGTAGGGGCATAAAAATCAGACAGCACAAGCACAATTTCCTTTCCATTTCCAATGTTCTGTTCTGAGACCATTAATGCTGTCTGGCATCATGCTTATCTAGCAGTCTTTTGATAAGGTCCACTTACATTAAATTTATTGATCATGTCTGTTTTGCTCACACCCAATGCCTGCAAATATGTCCTGCGGTCAAATATTCGTCTTTTATCACCTACAGAGGACTTTGACAATGGCCAGTAAACGTGTCTATCTATACATTCAGGCAGTCAGCAAAAACATTTCCCTCTTCTTCGTGTGCCATTTGACCTGAATCCACCCTGCACGTGCACATGCTGCATTTAATCTTCATTTTTTCCTTTTAGTCTTCTTATTTTTCTTTGCTGGCATTAGGAAGTGTTGCAGAAAGCATGCAATAGTGCTCTTCATACTTTTCCCATCATGCTTTGCGTAGCTTACATATGCATTGTACATATTTGTACATCTTTTTTGCACGGAGACGTGGGAGAGAGAGGCAAAGTCATAGTCTCTTGCCCTCATTTTTGCCTCATACTGATGATGTACAGAGGTTTCCAGACTTGATTTATAGGTCAAAACAAAAGCAAACAACATATGCATCATGGATAATCTGATGTTTAGAAAATAATTTAAATGCATTTCAGTCATATTTAATGGAAATAAATCATATGGTTAAATTTTAAACCAAGACTTGGTGTGTTATTCATTCGTTTATTTGTTTGTCTGTTTGTATCAAGTTTTGTTCTCATCATCCACAAGAAATTTTTAAAACAAACGTTTAGGTGCTGGAGTTGGTCAGTTTATTTCTTAAAATCCCTACTTAAAACTCAGAGGAGAAAATGCAGTTTAGAAAAATGGAAATACAGACATTAGCAGTGTAGCTTTGGTTCAGAATGGGTCTATATAAAGTATATCAACTAGATAAAGGCATAAAAACAAAGCTTAACATGAAACTGGTATCTGGATTAGATTTAAAACACATGCCTGTGCCTATAAGAAATCAAGCTGATACAAAAATCTTGTAATGTCAGTAAAAGGGTTTGTAAGTGGCAATATTAGAAGTACACAATTAGGAAAAAAATCACTTGTAAGTTTCAAGTCTTAGACAAATACACTTCAAATCCAAACATGGAATAAAGATAAAACCAGTTAATTTACTTAAATATAATAGTGTTTTAAAAACAGTGCTGTTGATGTGGCCTGTTAATGTGAAAAGCCACCAACAACTCAAAGAGAAAAAGTTTCTTCTTTTCTTTTTGTATATAAATATAAATATTAATACCTAACACTGATATGCCAAGAGGAAAATGTACAACTTTTAATAGTGCCCATACAAATTTGTGCCAAAAGTCTATAAAGACTTTCAAATTAAAAACAGTGTTATTGTGCAATTGTACAGAAGTTCAGCAATAATTTGAAATAAATAAAAACTTCAATTTTCAGTTGAAAAATGGAACAGCTGGATTAGAATGATGTGCTGAAAATTTTGTATGTACACAAAGGAGTGTGAATGTGGGATTTGCTGGAAATGGTTAAGGCTTTCACTTCACATGTTGGAATTGTTTGTCGAACACAGACGTTTCCAACAGGAACAGTTTGTTAAAAATGTAGAAATACCACAGTGTTCTTCCTGGAAAAAACTGCAAGCCTGCAGCGAAGCTTACAAAGAAAGATCAGAACTATATTCCATACATGAGCATACTGTCCCTGTCATGTTAAAACCTCGAAACTCATTTGCATTTCTTGCTTTTTTTTCCATTGTCTTTTTTCTATATGTTGCATCAAAATTGTATGACAAATTAAAAAGAATAATTCAAAATTATTTGGAATAAAATCTCATAACATTCATGTTGGACTGGTTGAATTATGTTCAAAATGATCAAAATTTTTATAAAATCTCATTCCTTCTCCTGGAAAGCTAAAATTTTGGAAAAAGGAGGTTTTATGACAGCGACAGTACATAGTCAACTGTGTTATTCTATATGAGTAAAAAAGTATTGCAGCTATTGTGGTAGACAAACCTAGCCCACAATAAGGAGCTTGTAAGAAATTAGAGCTTGAATAAGCTGCTGAAGACTTTTATAAGGAAAAGTACAGTACGAAGCTTGCATGTGGTTGTGTCTACTGGATTAGTGTGAATTGGAGCTCTAGGTGTTTTCCCAACTGTCTGTTTCCCAACAGTTCCCAATGGTCATAGTTTCTAGCTAAATACACCTACCCTCCCTCTTCATGTCCTACATAACATTTATCTGTTTATAAATTATGAGCTTAAAATACATTTTCCCAACTTTCACTTGCTATATTCCACATTACTGGGAAACTCTTTCAGCGAGTTGAAAGAAAACTCTAGATTGTCGCTCAAGAACACTTAAAATTGCTGTGCAGGAAGATGCAGGAAGCTGAAGATCTTCACACTTCCTCTCAGTTGTGGTTATTAAGGTGGGTTGCCAAATCATGTAATGCAGGCTCAGGCAGCAAGGCGCTGAGTTGCCAGTTCCTCTGCATCCTCTTGGTTCTCGTTGAGCTCGGTTAGCGTTCGTACAAAGCGGCTCCACTCATCCTGTCGCGGCACGGCGATCTGCTGGAAACATAAATTAACAACCAACAGAAGTAAATACCAAATAACAGCTTAATAACACAATTTAGGCATCTTGTTCTTACTTAAATCAAAAGGTACTTCTGTAGTGAGGAACATAAACAGAAAAAGCACCCAGGCCAGTCTAAAATGGACAATGACAGACTAAAGAACGAGAAAAATCGGAGTTACCCCAAATGAAGTCATTAAGCCAAGACATGTTTGGTGTATGAAGTTTGCTTTTTTACTTGAGCACTGGAGCTATCAAGCTATGATGCAGCCGCATGTGAGCCTAAGGTCATCATGCACAATGCCAAGTGCCAGCTAGAGGGGTATAAAGCCCCGCAGCAGTGAAACTGTGCTCTCTGGTCTGATAATGCTCCAACCAATGTCTTTGGGATGAGCTGGAGAGGCATTTATGATCCAGAACTAATCTTCCAACATCAGTACATCATTAATGCTGTCATGGCTGAATGCAATCTAATGTTCCAATATTTAGTGTAAAGCCTTCTCAGAAGAGTAGAGGATGTTACTGCTGCAAACTCCCCATTAATACCTTTGAGGCTAGTTAACAATTTGACACAGTTTGAGGCAACTGTCTGAAGATTTAGGTATGCAGTTTACACAATGCTATATGACGTACATAAACTCTCATTACTTGTTAGCTACATTAGGCTCCAGTGCAAAATGAACTGCATTCTCCCCAAAGTGGTTTGAAGTGGTGGTTAATAAGTTAATTGACTGCTCAACGTTTAAATCAGATCAATGGGTATTAATCAGGGTTTTTTTTGTAAATCATTACCTATAAAGAGAGTTAAAATATTGATTTTATGACATAATTCTGTCACGGCTCTCCCCGGCTTCGCTGAAACCACTACTCCTCACTCCGTTGTGGACTCTAACTCCCAGAATCCTCTAGGAGGTCACATGACTCTGGACTCTACAGCCATCCTATCCACGTTTAGCCTCTCCTGATTGATTTTATTCACTTGTATTCCTTGTCATGACCTTAGCTTGTTTTTGGATCCCGCCTCTAGTTTGTTCCTATATTAACCTTTTAACCGACAGCCAACACGGCAAGCGTCTGATTCACCCAGACCCCTCACAGATTTGGATATTATTTAGAGATACTGTTATGGAATCATTAATTATTCAGTGAGCATTGATTGAGAGTGAATAGAATATAGAATGATATCCTGGTAATACTTACATCTGATTATAATTTGATTATATCTGGTTGAATGTTTGAAATGTATTGTATTTTTGTCATTTCCTGAACTTTTTGGGATGGTCTCCACTTGATATTTAAATTCTGCTGTATGTCAGCATTTATTTCTGTATGCAAGCTTTAAACTCAGATCTTTAAGAAGGGTTAATTCCATGTTTGGTATGGATCTGACAGTTACATTATAGGCAGCAAATTATCTTTCAGCTTGTTTCAATTCTTAGTTTATCCAGGGACCGGTGGTGTAATTCAGCATCAAAATGCATTTTATTCAATTATGTCATCCAGTGATTTTCGTACCATCCCTTTTAAATTACATCAAGGGGGTCTTAAAACGCACTGTACACTAATCCAAATTTCAGATATTATCTCCTGCTTCGACACTTTATTTCATGCTTTGATTTTATCGCTGTTTGCTTATTGGCTTTGTGGAGAATAATAAATCCTAAAAAAAACTAATAAATAATACATCGAAAAAAATGAGGGAAATTGGTTTTGACCTCTTGAGTAAATTCCTGCACCACATAACACCATCATATTTAAAATGTATATATGGGGTGTATATATTTATATTTTGTGATAAGTTTTTAGGCAAATATATATAAATGAAGTTAAAGAAGTTAGAGAGATTTGAGTTTCTCACCTCTCCCACGTCATAGATGTGTACCTGACCCTCAGAGTCACCAACAGCAACCTCTCTGCCCGAATTTGCCCAGCGTACACGGTTCAGAGCTGGACTGCCCTCCACTGTGACACTAGCTGTAGGAACCTACAACAAAGCCAGTACACAGAAAGGATAAGAAAGCGAGTGAATATGTGTGTGTATAGATCATATCATTTTATGTATATATATATATATATATATATATATATATAGAAAGATAGATAGATAGAGAGAGAGTGAAAGAGAGAGAGATTTGAATATCTTTAAAAACACTGAAAAAATGATTTTTAAAATTTATATTAAAATTATAAGTAATAAGTTGTAGTAAGTAGTAAAATTTAGGGGTTTGGGTTTGAACTAATTTGGTAGCAGGGTCTATATCTGTTCTACACTACATACAGTGCATCAAGTGAATATAACATTATTTTAAGTAAATTTTATAATTTGTGTCCTTGTGTTTTGCTTTCTTTCTACATCACAATGACTTATTTAGCCATTAAAGTAATGTACTGTCAGTAATGTATCATTAAGTGATGTGATGAAGAAGTGGCATAATTTAAGAGGAGCTGAGTTCAAAAGCTGACAGTTTGACAAGGTCCATCGAGCATAACATATCCACCCCAGCACAGAAAAGTAACTTTTACTGTTGAAAAACTGAGGTTAGAAGGTCTAACCTTAATGACAGGCAGAGTGGTAGACAGATGGAGGACATAATGAATGAGTTTATGATGACAAACATAGATTGTGTTCAGAAATTAAGCAAATTAAATGGTACAACCATGAAGCAAAGAATAATGCCCTATGAAAGATTTACAAATTAAATCGAAAAATTAGAAAAAGTACCATCCATATGAAAGTATAAAGAGTACTATGAGAATGACCCAATGCTGATGTTATAAAGGCCCATCAGAATGTTGGAACTGAGAGTAAAACTCTATTTCATGATCAGTTTGAATCATAACACTGGAGATGACAGTATCTAAAATAAGGTTTCTGTGCTGTTGCAGACAAGATGTGGATGAGGTGCAGGAGGAATACAGTTTGGCTGTGCAGAAGAAAGTTAAATTGAGGCACAAGTTAGTGATTGAGATGCTGCTGAAGAAGGAAGAAGAGGAAAAGCCTGCTAAGCGGTGGAAAGATGAGGAGAATGTGGCTGCAGGAGAGGCAGCAAATGTGCAAAAAGTTGATGAAACCCTGGCTGAGACCATCTCAGGTGGGTAGAAACCAGCAGGAACCCAAAAATAATTAAATGTATTTAGAGTCTCCACCTCTGCTAGAACATCTTGTTGATTCTTGCTTTTCTCCAATGTATTTTTTTATTTTACAGATCCCTCACTTACAGATTACAGATCATGTCTAAGTCTGTGCTACACATGACTAATGGTAAAGTTTTTTGATTTTCGATTAGTTCTAAAGGGAGCTATTGATCATCTTAAACACTTCATTAGAAATTAGCTGTTCATCACAACTGTATTCTCCTCCAGATCTGCTTATGAGCCCAGAGGAGAAAATTGCACAGTCATGTGCAATTATGTTCTACAGCAGATATGGTGCAGGAGATCTCTGGAGAAAAGGGGGGAGGATTAATGGAGAGATAGAGGCAGTTAGGAGGAGGGTTGGGGCAAGACGGATGGAGAAGGGAGGGCTGTATATTCAGACAGAGGAGAAGATCTTACTTGGATTAATGTGTGGCACGAAGGGGAAATGTTGTGCAGGGTATATGGTAGGGAAGAGATAGACGTTTAACCACCATCTTCATTAACTTGATATTAACAGTTAACAAGAAGCAACTTTCTGCCTTTCTTTTATTGTTTGTTTCTTTCTTTCAGTATTTTTTTCTTCTTTATTAATTTCTTTTATGTAAATAGTAATAATAAAAATACTCTTTTTTACAATCAAGAATCACTTTATGGACTTTTTTTGAGTGAATTAATAATAAATTACAGACAGAAGGTGATGATGTATTCCAACTCAGCAGTCTTATGCAGCAACATTACTCTGAATTTATGCACAGCGCTAGCCAAAGTTTTGTGATTTACTGTTAGACTGAACATCAGTCTGAAAATTATTCAAGCAAAGGATGTTAATAACTGCTGCAGTAAATACTCAAAGTAACAGAACAGATACATTTAGTTGTGATTTTATTAGAAACCTCTCCCTTGCAGCTCCACCTTGCTGGTGTACATTTAGAGAACATAGTCCATTTGCTGATGCACAGTAAGGTAGGTGTTTCTAATAAAGTGGCCATTTGTGCAAATACAAAACAGGGGGTTTCTAATATAGTAAAGAGTTTATATCAGTAATAGGTCAAAGCACTTGAAGGTAAATAAGTGTAAATAATTCAACATTCCTCTACAGAGTTCACACATCTGTACATTTTAATGCACAATTACTGTTTATTTGCTGGAAAAAAGATATTTTACACAAATTTAGGGGTTACTGTTTGGGACAGCCACCTTCCAATAGAAAGTACCCTATAAATGATGATTTTGTATATATATTTAGCTTATTACTATCTCTATTTCTAAGGTCTGAATACTTTATGGTTATATGTAAATACCTATATGAAGTGTGTATCATTATTATTGTAGGTATATTACATATACTTCACAGTTTTATATAATTATTGCCTATAGGCACCTTGATAATAATACATATGAGAGATATGACATTTACTCATTTCTAAATTCTACACATGGTACATGTTTGTTTTTATACCTTGGAGGGATGTGAGATAAAACACATGTACCTCTGTCTCATTGTTGAGATTCCAGAGGTCAAGGTGACCCACTCCATCCACACAGGCAAACAGGGCAGGGTGGGCAGGGGACCACATGACATCATACACATAGTCTGAGTTATCCTCAAATGAGTACAGCGGCTTAGTATTCTACAGAGACAAGAAGAGATACTTACACACACATAGCTGGCATTCTCCAGTACAGAACAGATAAAACAATGTTTCCCCTTACCTCAAATGTAGATCAGCCAAGACATGTTCAGGCTTCCTAAGTTTGCTTTTTTAGTCTTACACCGGAGCTATGAGGCTAATATACAATGTATAGTATAGCTACAGTAGTAGAAGTAGCCATTTGTTCCTTGAATTTTGTTTGTGCCTTTGTTCATTTTTGCCCCTGAGATCACTTTAAAACTATTATTTGTGTGATTATTTAGACATGCAGTTTTCATGCTAATTGGTGGAATATATTGGCTTCTATAGCTATAGCCTTATAGCTCAAGTGAAAACTAAAGAAACACACTTTAGACAACAAACATGTCTTTGCTGATCAATTACATTTGAGGTAAAAGGAAAATTGTGTAGATTTGTTTCTTTGCTGAACTATTGCTTTAAGAAAACCCAACATGACGAAGTAAGATCTTAATATGTGCTGATTACACATCTACCCTGAACATATTAAAGGGTGTTATCTTTGTGCAGTGCTTTCATGTGAAGTGACACAGTTTGGTGTTAAACAGTGGCTGATAATATAAATATATAATTATCATGATATGATACATGTCTGGGGGTTTTTTATTGAATGATTGTCATTTTCAATCCACTTTTAGCAGCAAAGGCTTAAACTTAGTGATTAAAAAAGAATCATCGTGATAATATTTTTGCCAATATCCCCAGCCCATTATCTGAACTCATGAATGAGAACAGAATATTCAGCAATGCAGAGAAATAGAGTATTTTTAACTGCTGGGTTTTTGTGTCTGTGTGAGGCTGTGCTGCACTCTGGTGCTCCACAGTTTGACAGTCCAGTCAAAACATGAGTTTTGCTGTATGTGTGTGTGTGTGTGTTAGTGTTACCCTTGTGCTCCACAGTTTAACAGTCCAGTCAAAGGATGAAGTCACAAACAGATGGGAGAAATCTACAGGTCCAGCAGCCGTGTGGCAGTCCAGTCCTGTGACTGGACCATGATGACCCTCGAACATGTCACTGATTCCTGCTTTGCTACAACACACACACACAAGTTATTTAGCCATTAAAATAATGACATGATGAGAAGGAACTGACATCATTTAAGTCTCTAAGGATTCAAAAGCTAGTGAAGCGTGCATTTATTTAATATTTAGAAATTGTTGTTTTCCGCATCCTTAACAGGGGGAGTAAAGCATATGTCCACCACCTCACACAAAATACAGGGAGCAAAAATTTTTTATATAAATTTTTGCAGTATTCCCAAAAAAGTCACGTAATTTACTGTTAAAAAAGGTTTATCAGTGTTAATTAACACAAAACAAAATGTATTGTTAACTGAGGTGGGAAAATCTGTTTTTTGTTAAGAGCAACAGGTAACAGACTATGGAGGACAAATTCATAAAAAAAATTTCAAATTACTACGCTCCTTTGGCATTGATCTTGTGGAAAGACTATACAACTGTTTTAGCTATTTGTCCATTTTTATACATAACAGTGTATAATACTGTGTCAGAAACCACTTACAGTTGTGTGCAAGAATTTACAAGCCCCTGGTCAAATTATGTATTTTAAGCAAAAATAAGTGAACACATCCTCTACAGACAACAAGCAAACTTCAGAAACAAAACATGTCTCGGCTGAGTGACTACATTCAGAGTAAGGAGGCAAATGTGTAAATACGCTATCAAACTGAACTATCGCTTTAACCTTAGCAACCCACAGAACATTTGGCTCTTTTATTTTGTCAAACAAAAACATTTTACTAGAGAAAAAAAATCATGGATGTTTGCTAAATTCCCACATAATAAGAATGTCTTTGTCTTCTATTTGGTTTCCACAAAGAGATCAAAACAAATTTAAACACACACCTTCCATGTCTGCATGCTGTGTAGACTGTGCCATCTTCACTGCCCACCACAAAGTTATTGACATCACCCAGAGGAAAAGACATGGAGGTTACAGCCACAGGTTTGGACTGTTTAAACACCAGCTCCAGGCTGTCCTGCAGACACACCCACAGACACATCAGGTAAGCTCGCTATACACTGTAGACACCTGCTCATCCAGTGTTTCTTCTGAAATCAAAGGCATTAATAGGGTGTTTTAACAGCCTCTACTCTTCTGAGAAGGCTTTACACTAGATGTAGTAACATTGCTGTGAGGATTTTATCGTATTTAGCCACAAGAGCATAAGTGAGGTGAAGGGGTGATGTTTGATGAATAGCTCTGGATCACAAACACCACAGCTTTTCCCAAGCATATTGGATGGTGCTCCATCACCCCAGAGAACACTGTTCCACTGCTCCACAACCCAGTGCTGGGGGGATTTGATACTCCTCTAGCTGACACTTGGTATTGGACATGGTGACCTTAGGCTGCGGCCATTCCAGAGTGTCCCAATCTGTTATCAATGCTTGTCTATGGAGATTATACAAGTTGTGAGAGCGCAGTTGAACTCCTGTATCAGCAATGGGTGAACCTTAAAGAAGCTGAATTCACTAATTAGAAAATAGTGTCTCGATACTTCCAGATATATATAGTGTATTCTTCTTATTATTATTTATTTTATTTATTTTTTTACTTAAGTGGGTAAAAAGTGGTTTATGTGGGCTTTGTGTATGCATCTTAAGTTCTGATTTTGTGTGTGTATGTGTGTGTTACCTGTGGAGTGGACAGCATGTCCAGGCTCCAGGAGCACATTTTGCCATCAGTGGAGATGCTGATGAGGTTATGAGCATTCTGAGTGCCCACCACATTCACACAGTACACTGGATGCTGGATATGAAGAGAAAGAGAGTAACTATTAAATATCTCAGAATATCTGCTGGTAGCCTCAAGTTAAATATGATTTTTGTAAGCCTTTTTAAAGCCACTTAAAAAAAAATTAAGATGAGTAACAAGTGGACGGCAATGAAGGTATATCACATATAAAAACCCTGTTCTATATAACTCACACCCATATATATTTTCCTGCGGACTATGTTAGATGAACGGCAAGTGATTTTAGTTTATTTAATATCTATTTAATGCTTTTAATTTGTACAATGTAAGATTCTTAAAAACCTACACATGGCCTCTATGGATCATTCTACTGAACTGGTTCGAAGTCAGATCTGAAAACATATTTCCAGATGTTTAAATGACTTGGACTTAGGCTAAAATCCTTTTGCTTTGTGTGACCCTTTGAACACTACAAAACTTTTCCATGTTTTAGTAGTGACTGTTTTGGTTGTGACAATTTTAGGTAATTTTGAGCAGAACTCAAAAATGCTATCCAGTACATGACTCGCAAGCACAGCTTTAAACAGATGAAACCACATAAAATCATAATATTTTTCATTAAAACACAAAATGGTTAACGTAATCACAGAAAATGTGTATTTCAGTAGTGACAATTCATAAGGTTATACACTGATTTTCAGTCGCACTTCCTGCTCTAAAATGCAAGGATGTGGCTAAAATAAGGCTCCGCCTATGGGATAAAACTCTTTGTATTTTGGTAGTGACATGAAAATGTAGGACAGCATTTTTTTTTACATTTTTTGTTCAAAAATTAAATTTATGATAAATATAAAATTTTAAAATTTAAAAGAAATCAAAAGGATCTTACAAATTTAATTTAGAGGTTAGTGTTTGGGACAGCCAACTCCCACAAAAAGTACCTCATAAATGAAGATTTTGTCTATATTTAGCTTATTACTATCTTAATTAATGCTTTTGGTTTAAATAGATCATACTACCCCATTTCCCAAAAAGTTGGAACGCTGTGCAAAACGCAAATAAAAACAGAATGCAGTAATATGCAACAAAGTGAACTGTGTTCACAGACACTGGTTTTCAGAAGTGTTTCTAAGCCCATACAGTGATTTCCACTACAGAATCATGTCTGTTTTTAATGCAGTTCCGCCTGAGGGCCCGAAGATTATGGCCAGCTCAAATTGGTTTTTAGCATTACACAACTTTCCCAGCCTTTTGTTGTCCCCGTCCCAACTTTTTTGGAATGTGTTTCTGCTATTCATGCAAATTCAAAATGGGCAAATATTTTTCAAAAAACAATGAAATTTCTGTTTTAGCATTTGATATGTTGTCTTTGTACTATTTTCAAATAAATATAGGGTTTAAATGATTTGCACATCACTGCATTTTGTTTTCATTTACATTTTGCACAGCATCCCAACTTTTTTGGAAATGGGGTTGTAATAATAATAATAATATTAATAATAATAACGATGAAAATTAGGAAGGGAAGGGAGAGAAGGCAAATAAGAAATGGAAAAAAAAGATACAAGATACAAAATGAGAAACAGAGCTTGTGTCAATACAGAATTTAAGCACACATAATTTCTGGGTTTTGCCAGATTGTTTATGACAGATAATGCTGTAAGTAATTGAGGGTGTTGTGTGTGTGTGTGTACCGTATGTGCAGAGGCAGACAGTGGTGTTCTCTGTACTGGGGTGCGTTTGTTACTGCGGTTATCCCACAGAACGATCTGTCCTGAGTATGTTCCCCCAACGACCAGATTAGGATGGAAACGAGCAAATGCTGCTGACATCACTGCTGACTGGAGAGAGAGAGAAAAAATAAAACCACAGCTTGAAAAATATAATCCTTAAAGGAATGGATCAGCAAAAATTACCATTTTCAGCCAAGACATGTTTAGTGTCAGACGTTTGCTAATGTAGGCTAATGTAGCAAACAAGTAATTAGCGGTGAATGCCTAAATCATCACAATCTTGCCTTAAACTGTGTCACATTTTTAATAAGAGCTACAGTGCTACAGTGTTGGTTTAGAGTGGCTACATGAGTTTTCACTTGCTACCAAGCTTGACTATGTTATTCATTAGGCATGTGGAAAAGATGACAACACAGAATCTGCCACCATGCTAAAGCTACCTTGATTACAGGACAAAAGACTACAACTGATCTATTTTAACATTGTGACCACGTACATGTACAAAATAAAATATAAGACTCTAAATATATGTGTTTTGACAATAATAGTTAATAAGAAGGTTTCTCATTAGGTGAGTGAGATTTTTACCAGTGTTCCATATATCTTGCATCAGTAGACAGGTCAGCTGTCAAGCTGTTTATGAGCTGAATCAGTGGGTTAGAGCTTGTTAAACACATGACTGGAAAACCTCAGAACTGACCTAATTTAACCTCACCTGGCAATGGAAGACATATTCGGGTGTGGTTTTCTTATACTTCATATTCCACACCAGGGCAACTCCATCGGGCTCATGAGGAGCTTCCTCATTACTGCTGTAAGAAGCTACCAATAACTCAGGATACTGTGAGTGAAAGACAGGGAGAGAGGGAGAGACAGAAAGAGAGAGAGAAGAGACTTTTCAGAATTTTATTTAATTCAGTGATAACTATAGATTGTAGTTTGGTAAAATAAACCATATAAAACATTCTTTTAATTTTTACTTTTTTATAGTAATGTTTTGTTTCGTTATCTGCCTCGAGTCATTTTAACTCTTATTAGCATTTCTTCATTTTTTCAGAAAAGTCAGGAAAGGCTAAGAAAATGACTGGTGCAAAAACTGCTTAATAAAGTATTAAATGTGACTGAACGATGTGGACAGACAATCTCTGGATAGCAAACCTGTGAAGACCAGTCCAGACAGGTGACCACTCTGTGTCTGGACCAGCGCTCATCCATAAACTGCCTGTTCAGGGACAGCTTAGACCCAGCCTGAGTCTCTCTGGAACATACACACACACACACACATACAAAGCAGAAGGCATTATTGTTCAACATGGAAATGTGTCACAAAGTCTAGCTTGGGCTTATCATGTCCATTATTATTATTATTATTGTTATTATTTTTTTTTTTATTGCTGTTGTTGTTTGTTTAGTCTGAATGTATTTTTTTATTTAACTTAGGCTAATGTTTAATATGATCCTGTGTATCTTATATCTCATCTTAAACTGGGAAGGGATATAAGAGAAGGGACAAAGGGGCTGCAGAACAAATCAAACAAACACAAATTCTGCTTTAATTGCCCTGTATTGTAATGCTGTTCATGTATAAAAAATGTGAATTACAAAAAAAAAAAGTTTAGCTTGGACTGTGCGAGAGAAAAAACAGAAAATAAGAAATTAAATAATTTAAACATATTTCTACCTTGTCAGAATACGGGGTGAAATGTACAAACCAAAGTCTAGCCCTCACTGAGAAGCATTTTTGGCAAAATTGTCAAGTCTAAGCAATCCTTGCTCATAAAGGACTAGGCCTTTCATGGATGCTCATTTTAGATCCAAGCATGATTACATCACCTGTTCAAGATTTTTTTTGTACAAATTTCTTAAGTATATTTACAAATCATTACCTTCTGATTTTATTTGCATTTTACCACCTGTCCCAACTTTTTGGGAATTGGGTTTGGATGTCCCATAGGTATAACATACATATAAGTACCCTTATTCTTTAATAACCTGTTCCATTTATTTTACATATGCAAGTACCTATGTACCTATATGTAATATGTCCCAATAATATGTCCCATTGTATTATATATATTGTCACTGTCATGCAAAAACCTTGTATCTTTCTTTTTGCCGTCTTTTAACTTTTTGCATAATTTGAAATTTACTCTTTGCATTATGTTCAAATTTCATAATGAATGGATCACTTCTGTCGGTGCCTTCCACTGCAACTGCAGCTTTATTCCCTTCAGTCTGGAGATACAAGGTGTTGTTGCAACAGTGATGGTATGTACATATCTATATGTAATGATAACACACACAAACACACACACACTCCTCACCCCTCCTTGTCTTGCAGGTCGCGGCCACTGTAGTCGAAGCAGACATCCACCTGCTCTGAGAGCGCTCGTTCCACAATGCGGGAGCTGTGGTCAAAAAATGTCAGAAACTCCTCTGAGTGCAGGATCTGCTGCTTCTCCTCTTCAGTCAGCTCGTGAGGGGGCACTAGAGAGCAGGACAGAGCGGAAAACGGGCTAGGGATATTGCCAAAACATCAAATTTATACAATTCTCACTTTTTAGCAAAATGTAGTAGATCATCCAAGATCTGTTTGCCATCTGAAGTTTGGTGTCAAATCACATAAAACATAACGCACAGAAATATTAGCCTAGAAATCATTCATTTAGGAGGTCAATGTTGCATCAACAGGATATTGTACTGGTTAGGACCCTGGGCTTTCTTAAGGCCATAGTTCAGTGAAAAATCTACCCAGTTAACTACCCAGTTAGAGCTTCCCTGAGCACAAATCTGAAAACAAAACCATAATTGGTCAAACAGTTTAGCTACAGCGTCCAATTTTCTTATTGTACTTTTTTAGTCCTTGGTCCAAAAGGGTTACTTTTTGTAATAAGGTTTGCATATTGTCATGAAAAATTAGCGTTCATCTCAAATAGGCCAATATCTCAACAAATCACCATCAACCTTACAAACACACCCAGACACAACCTGCAAAGAGTATATACTGTCTAGCAAATTTCAATACATTTCAATGGGAAACCACTCTGTATTAGAACAACTACCAGAGGGTACAGAAATATTTACAAAAAAGAGTAATGCTATTAGACCAAAGACTAAAAAAAGTACAATCAAAAAATGGCTCTACAAGGAGCTGGAATTAAAAAATGATAGCACTTGATTCAGAACAATAATTACAATAATTTCAATAATATATGGGTAACTTGGGGATACATGTGAGATTTATGAGTGAAATTATTGTCTGAAGTTATTTTTGGACATTTTCTTATTTTTTTTCTAATTTTTAAAAATATTAGAAATATGAAATATAAGGGTTGTTATATTACATTAAATATTGGTTGGGCAGTCAGTTGTATTGGGCTTAATAGGTTTTAAAACAACTTTCATACATACACTGTAAAAAATGGTTCAGTGTTTTAACTTAAAATAGTAAGTCACCTGTCTGTCTTAAAATTTTAAGTTGAACTTCTAACAATAAGTTAACAGAACAATAATCTATGTTTTGTATTTTATTTCAAGGCCAATAAACTTGATTTTTTAAAGCAACCAGGTTATTTACTTTTTAAATCAAAATTTAGATTTTTTTTTACAGTGTAAACACTGTATTGTGGATTGATAGAGAATCATTCAAAAGAGAACTGTGATGCACCTAAGAATCGACTACCCCCCCCCCAGCCAATATGTGAGCTATTAATTCCCTACCCTCCTCTTCAGCTTTCTCAGAGTCGTCCTGAGGAGTTTCGAGCACAGACTCAACCACAGCTAAGTCTTCCTCCTCATTATCGTCTTCTGCTGTGGAAAAGCAAAAATATGACTTTAATTCTTCTGCACACCTTTACAAGGTTAGAGGATGAATATATCAGGATGAGGTCCATTGAGTTTTGCTTTCAGGGAGGATTTGTGTTGTACCATATTTTGGCTGGGTGTGGGCGGTGGGCGTCTGTGTCTCTTTAGAGTAGGACACCAGCTCTTTTGGAGGGAAATCCACCTGAGTCACTTTAGCCATTCCCAACCTCAGAGGAACCCGTCTAAAAATAAGGAAGAGTCAGCATAAAACACACACACTTTCTCTCAAACTGTGCACTAGTCATACTGTGGATCGGTTTCCCCAACCAGTCTTAGTGGGCCACCAGATGGAAATTAATAATAAACTGTATAATAAAATAATAAAATAATAAATCTGACTTTTGCTCAGTATTGTAGACAGTCTTATCAGCATCCATGAACCAATAAGCATGCTTGATCCAAGATCTTACCCACTTCCAGCACCTCACTCTCATTAATGCTTTAAGCCACACCCACTTTCTGTTTGCAAGTTTAAAGAAGGTGTCAGAAAGATTTTTGTTCAGGAATCAGTATTAAATACCACATATCAGTACTGGTATCTAATCTAAGTGGGACATCATATTATTATCAGAGAAGAGCAGATTAAATGGCAGAAATAGCCGCTAGTTACCCCTGCCCCTGTTAGCTCATGAAGGGTCTACTAATTGGTGGGTGAGTTGAGTCAGGTGTGTTTTGGAGCAGGGAAAACAGCACACAAACACAGAATTAGAGAGAAGAGCAGAAAGCAGTACCCAAGCTGAGAGTCTGAATGCAGCAGAAGAGTAGAGGGGTCAGAGTCCCAGTGTAGAGTCCTGTTACACACAAAAACACACAGACACACAGAAGGAAGCATGCTTGTGGAGTCAAAAAAGGAAAGATCTGTTAAAGGAAAGCTGTATGTTTTACTCACACACACACAGACACAGGGACATCCCTAGTGGAGAAAAGAGTTAAAATTGGGAACAATGCAAAAATGACACAAACCACTCAAAACAGCTTGTTATTTACGCACAGAGCACCAGCATGCATGTATGTGTTGGTATGTAGGAACACAGGTATCTGTAGGAACAGGGGCCGGTTGCACCAGCCGTACATAGTTCAGACATAGGCTAGTTATACAATTATGCCCAGAAATATTTGGACAGTGACACAATCTTCATGATTTGGGCTCTGCATGCCACCACATTGGATTTGAAATGAAACAACTGAGATGCAATTGAAGTGTAGACTTTCAGGTTTAATTCAAGGGGTTGAGCAAAAATATCCTATGAAATGTTTAGGAATTGCAACCATTTTTCTAAAAAGCCTCCTCATTTCAGGGGCTCAAAAGTAATTGGACAAATTAACTTTACCATAAATAAAATGTTCATTTTTAATATTTTATTGAGAATCCTTTGCAGGCAATGACTGCCTGAAGTCTGGAACCCATGGACATCACCAAACGCTGGGTTTCCTCCTTTGTGATGCTTTGCCAGGCCTTTACTGCAGCTGTCTTCAGTTGTTGCTTGTTTGTGGGTCTTTCTGCCTTAAGTTTTGTCTTAAGCAAGTGAAATGCATGCTCGATCGGGTTAAGATCTGGTGATTGACTCGGCCATTGCAGAATATTCCACTTCTTTGCCTTAAAAAACTCCTTCGTTGCTTTTGCAGTATGTTTTGGGTCATTGTCCATCTGTACTGTGAAGCGACATCCAATCAACCTTGCTGCATTTGGTTGAATCTGAGCAGAAAGTATATCCCTGTACACTTCAGAATTCATCCAGCTGCTTCTGTCTTCTGTCACATCATCAATAAACACTAGTGACCCAGTGCCATTGGAAGCCATGCACGCCCATGCCATCACACTGCCTCCACCATGTTTTAAAGAGGATGTGGTGTGCTTTGGATCATAAACCGTTTCAAGCCTTCTCCATACTTTCTTCTTCCCATCATTCTGGTACAGGTTGATCTTAGTTACATCTGTCCAAATAATGCTGTTCCAGAACTGGGTTGGCTTCTTTAGATGTTTTTTTGGCAAAGTCTAATCTGGCCTTTCTATTTTTGAGGCTGATTAATGGTTTGCACCTTGTGGTGAACCCTCTGTATTTGCTCTCATGAAGTCTTCTCCTTATGGTAGACTTAGATAATGATACACCTACTTCCTGGAGAGTGTTCTTCACTTGGGTGGATGTTGTGAAGGGGTAAACAGCTGTTTTGGTAAACAGCTAAAATGCCAAAACTTGTGTCACTGTCCAAATATTTCTGGGCCTAACTGTATATAGTACTAAATCAAAACAGGGTTGCGCCACACAGACTAGCTTCCAGCTCTGTTCATGACCCTGGTTTGAATTCCAAATATGAAGCTAAAACCCATAAAATTCAGTGAGACGCATTGGAACTAAACTGTGTCAGCTGGTCATAAACTGTTGTTTAATAAAAGCTGCATCTATGGTTGTCACAAGCAAATATTAAAGAATAAACCAACTATGGATGTGGGTACTGGGTTCTTTTTCCACTTGTACACATCATTAGCTTCTATACTAAGTATATGGAATCAAAAAAGTCAGCACAGGTTGCATTTGTGTTTCCTTGGAAGTGAATTTATAGAACACGTTATCATCATGTTAAAGTAGCGTATGCATTAGTTAGTTGCTACTAGGTAAAAAATGAGATGCACTATGTAAGACGAGGGGATTTGAACAACATTTTGCAACATTAGTTGTAGTTCGGACGCCTTCCCCAAGCAGATGAATCTGATGATTGTGAGTGCATTGAAAGAGTATCAAAAGAAAGCTCAATCAAAACTCAGTAAAGGACGTGTCTTCAAAAGATGTAACTAAATGATCTACTATTGTCATTATATTTTCATCAAATGTAATATATATCAAATATTCAGGTCTGAGCCAGACCTTCTTTTTGAGTCTGTGACGTTAATACATTAAGACATATGACGTGGTCAAAAAACTACCCCAAAATCTGACCCAATGCCTCTTACTTTTACAGGGTGACTTGCAGAAGCGCATGCACACCATATCTTATTTAGTAATGCCACTTCTTTTATTTTTAACAAAAAATCTTACATAGTGAAGCTTTAGGTAAAAAGAATTGCTCATGATAGAGTAAGTGACATTTAAATAATATGAGTTTTATGTCTTAAACATAAAAATACACAGTAAGTGTTTGCAGTGACCCACAAGTTAAATGAAGTTTATGTTTTACATGTGTCCTTTGAATTAGACATCAGCTGCAAAAAATATTTAAGTAGTAACTCATCTAATTTTGATTTGTTACTTTGTGGCTTACAGCTGCACTACATAAGGTTTATTTGTTAAAACTGAAAGAAGCACCCCAAACCGGCCTTTTTTTATGTTGTGTTGCTCAAGTGTTTGGATAAAACTTTCTTTTTTTTTTATCCTATCATCACATACTGTTCTGAATTTGTGTTATGTAGTCACATACTCAAACACTTATTCACAGAATCTAGTAGCTGCCCATTGGCTTCTATTATAAATTTATGTTTCAAGTCAACAGTTTTTCCGTTCTCTTCTAAGTACAGAATAACTTTTCAAAGTTATTGTGCCTTGTAATCAATGGTACTCTACAGATGCAGCAGACAAAGATTAGGTTGAGAAATGTTGGATTAATCCTTTAATATGTTAACAGAGCTGTATCAGTGAATATTACCTGGGTCCTGTTGCTCCATCTGCGGAGTCCTGGCTGCCCGTCTCACTGCCCACCGATTTAGCAGAGGGGGACATGGGAGGGGGGACTAAATAATGAAACAGACACGTATCCTCTGTTACAACACGCAGAGGCTGCACTACTCACATGTACACACAGGGGAAAATTTGGAGTGCAAAATAAAATAAAAAGGCAATAACACATGCAAAACCAAAGACAAACAGGGAAAACAAGCAAGGGAGGAGGGAAGCAAGAATGGGAAAAGTGCGGGTAAAAGCAATAAAAGATAAAAAATAAAATAAAAAAGGGAAAGAGGATCGTGCCGGAAAGAATAAGAAGACAAAAATGCAAAAGTAGTTAAAATCATGCAGGAATAACGTGATTTAAGAAGACATTAGAACGCAACAAACAGTATTCAAAAGGATAAGGACCACATTCTGGGTGACAACAGGCATCAAAGCTGTATCCTTAATGTTATGCAAACAATAATAAAAGTGCTATTGTGGAGACTCTACGGTTAGTGACAGTTTAAGTGACAGTATAAAGTTAAATTTTAACAGCATGCAGTTTACACACAGCTAAAAATGAACGTCAGCTCAACTTGAAATTATAACATAACTGACTACACTGCTTTGAGTTAACACAGCTTGAGGACACTAATGTTATTAGTTTAGTCAAAAGCTCTCCTAACTCACATTTTCAGTTCTGCATCTCAGTTAGGTAAACAATGTAAAATGTATGTTTTTTTTTTACTCATTTTCCTCATTAGCTGGGACTCTTTCCATCCCACCACGCATTTCCTCCACTTGGGCTCCTAGTCATAGACAGCTATGGCAGCACAGGGGTTTAAACTCACAACCTCCTGGTGGGGGTGAACGCTTAGTCCGTTGCACCACTCGCAAGCTACTGAAATTACTCATATTTCTGTGTCTTTAAATGTTTAATACACTGTAAAAAAATATTTGCTCTTTTAACTCTGAAAAGTAATGTGGTAACATGCAATGGTCTAAGAACCTCAGAAGACTGTGAGTTCGAACCTCAGTGATGCCAAAGCTGTCCACATCTACAAGCCCAACAAGAGGAAATGCCTGGTGGGACTGTGTGATAGAAAAAGTTCCAGCTAGCAGGGAAAGTGAGTAAAAAATACATTCTATATTTTTTACCTAACTGAGAAACTATAAGAGTGAGTAAAGAGAACATTTGACTAAACTAAAGAAGCAAACTACAGATAGGGGCGTACCCATGGCAGGGTCAGTGATGCCCATGCTCTGCAGCAGGGCCTCCGCTTCTCTCCGCTTCCTCTCCAGATCAGAGTCATCGTTTGGGGGGGATGAACCGTCCCTTCGACCCTCAGTCTGCAAAAATAGAAGAAGAGTCAGAGTAACACACACACACACACACCCTCAAACCTAATGTAACCTGATCATAATCCTAAAACTAACCCCTTAAACTTTTTTGATTGTAATAATAGTAGTTTATAATAATATTTAATCAGTAGCTTTTTATTGTTTATATTCATATTTATAATATAATAATTATTTATGATTATGCTATTGCCATGCCATGTAAAAAACAAACAAAAAAATTAAATCATACCAATATAATTTTATTAAACTGAATAAAAATATAAAATCAATGTGTGGTCATAGATCTACAACACTAATTGTTACTAACTAATTAATAACAGATGCTGAATAATTTATAATAGCTACTGAACAATCTAAACAATTAATAGTCATTAATAAATAAATGATAGTAGATACTAAATATACTGAATAATAAACTGCATAATTCAGAGTAGTTACTGGGTAAGTAATAATAGATATTTCATAACATGGTTAGTTTATAGAGGCTTTTTTAACAATCTAAATAATTGGTAGTTATTGAATAATTAATAGTATACTGAATAATCTGAATAGTTCATAGTAGTTACTGAAGATATTGAGTAAATTGAATAATTCATTGTAGATACTGAACAATCTGAATAATTCATAATTACTGAATAATTCACAGTGGATACTGAATCATCTGAATACTTTACAATAGTTACAAAATAAAAAAGTAACAAATGAATAACAAAGTATAGTCTTGATGTTAATAACTGAATAGTAAGACTAGAGTTAACAAGTTTCAAACAAAAACTGCTTTTGTGCTTTTTTGGTTTAAAAAAACTAAAAGCCCCAGTATAGAAATGTAAGCGTGCACACACACACACACAGTGCTGTAGGATACATAACACACTCACTTCTTTCTTCTTGCGTTCTTCCTCCTTCCTCTTCTTCTCCTCTCTGATCTGAGCCAGGCGCTGTTTCTTCCTCTCCAGCTCCGCCTTTAGCTCGCTTTTATCCGACATTCTGCCCACACACACACAAAAAACACCCCAGCATTTCAATAATAGCAAGACTGTGTGTCTGTAGGCCTGCTGGCATTTTAGCTGTCATATAATACAAGCACAGACTGAGTAGCTAATGGCCATGTATGTGCTTTCAAAGCTACTAGAACTATTATAATAGCAAACATTTAGCAAAGTATCATTTGTTTCAGCACTGGCAGTAAACTTATCTAACATTCAACTAAATATCTATTAAATACAACTGACCTTTAAGTTAAATGTAATAGATTATCTTAAGGCTAACCCTAAACCAAACCTTGAGTTCAACACAAAAAATACATTCAATCCTAAGCCTAACTGTAATGTTGTAGATAAACAACTGAATTTTACCAGATCATTTAATAATTATTAATTTGAGATCTGTAGATAATCTATAAGGAACTCTCAAAATAAGCTGTGACTTAGTATGATTACCAGGAAAAAACTGTATATCACAGTGAAGAAAATCAAAACTGGATAAGTTGCTGTTGTTGCTAATGACTAACATCAGAAACGTAATATACGGGTATCAGTGAATTTATATTGATTTTTAAATACATTTTCTTTGGGGATTATTTTGCCTTAGAACAGCCTCCAAGTATCTATCCACCACGAATTGAGTGAAATAAATTGATTAATATACGTTGTAGGCCTCTTTTTGTCACAAAAACTACTGTAAAACAATTTCTCAGACAACAGGCTGAGCATTCATAACCAATAATTTCATGTAATACAAGCCATTAAACTCCTCAGACATCTAGTTCCTATCACCACCACTATGAACAATGCTGACTTGGTAAATTTCTCTAGAATGATGCATTTTGTTGACACCTTAACCATTTAATTATGCCGAAATGCAGAGAAATCGGCGGCGCTCCACTTTAAATGAATTGCACTCAGTTAGTGAGTGATTGAGCTATATTCTGCCCTCTGCTGGTCTTTCAGTGCCAGTGCAGGAAATACTGGGGTGACGTCAGCGCTGATCAGTCCGCGCCCTGCTGCGATGCATAACGCCAAACACGATGACAAAGTAGGAAATCACGGCATAAACCGCTATTTAATTTACAATAAAAACAAAGTTAGCGTCTCGTTTAAAACGTAGTCGTATATTTCTGGTCCAAAACTATATGATCAACATTAATTTTGTTCAACATTCATCAATGAAATGTTGTAAAGGGAGCCCATACACAAAAACACCGGCGGCCCAGTTTGCATGACAGCAAGCATGAACATAAACAGAAAAAACGACTATAACTGTCACAGTACACATCAGCAGTGTCTGCGATAACGTAGCCCTTCATAATAACAGAAACTATTACTATTAATGATAATAATACATAAGTGCATAATTATATGGTAATAACAATCTGGTAGATAGATTACTGAAATAGGAACAGCCATTTGACCCTTTTAGAGCCCTACAGGTCATAATAGGAGCAAAACTCTAAATATTTCAGAGAAAGTGACTGAATAACTCAAACTCCCATCACACCAGTCGCGTACAGGCTGGTTGGCTGGAAAAGCTACCGGTGGATCACGCTGATATCAGTAATATCCGATTTAATACTGTTCAGATTAATAAACCACACAGCCAGGCATGAATACTTGGTACTACTGAGGTATTTTTAGGATGATCCAAGCTTTGCCTGCGGCAGTCAGAGCTCATGAGACTGAGACAGGAGCGGGACACGCAGGCTCCATCTCTAAACCCTTATTTATCAGCCCTTTATTTCACCCCTTCCTGTCGAGGATCGAAATAGTAAAGCGGCACTTACTTGAGAGAAGCCCCTCTGGTCGTCACAATAAACCGGAGTATGGAGGATTATTGCTGAGGCAACTAAGAACTTATTATCCTCTGTCGGTTGTTGTGCAGGACAGCAGCAGCCTGAGCAGCCTGCTGGGTTGGAGCTACGGCTACCGGGAGGGTTTACAGCCACATGGACACTTATACAACGGAGCCGATAGAGGGCACTGTTTCATCCGCTTTCACACTCATAATGTGAAATAAAAATAAAATAATAATTGAAATGAAATTCACACTCCTAACAAAATAATATGTAAATATAAATTTTAAATGTTCACAAATGTAACTATGGCACATCTCCTTATACTAAAAGAGATAAAATAAAAATTCTAAATAAAAACTTAATAAATGCTACTTTTATATTTTAGGGAACATTGTTTCACTCCAGCTCACACTCGATGTATTTATAAAAAATAAACAAGAAGTTCATAATTGCTATCGACACACTAAAGAACTCTGCTTTACTCCTTCGTTTTACAAACTTTTTATTTTTACAGCGGAATTACAAAGAAATATAATGTGGTGCATTCAGGTGAATGAATGCAACCACACACTAGAGGGCGCTGTTTTGTCCCGCTCAAAGTTCATACCAAAATAAAATTAAAATACAGCAGAAAATTCCCCAAGAGGCCCACCAAAATCTATTTAAATATTTTTCAGTTTTTAGTTTTTCAGTGATATTATAAAGATAATGAAATGAAAGCTTCATCTTTATCTATTTTTACAAAATAAATCAAATTTTATATAATTTATAAAAGATGAAAAGTCTGGAGAGGACTTAAAAGGCACAAGTGGCCAATAAGGGGACAATAAGTCCTGTTATTGTTTAATTTTGGTTATCAATAAGCACAGTCATTGTTTTAAAAATCATGATATGTATCCAAAAGTATGCAGACATCTCTTTTAATTAGTGAATCCAGCTACTTTCAGGTACACCCATTGCTGACACAGGTGTTCAATTGTGCACAAGCAGCTTGTATAGTCTAGCTTCAGCTAGAGGGGTATAGAGTATTCCAGCATGGGGCTGGAGAGCAATGAAAAGGCAAGTTTTTACGCCGCTGATGTCAAACCCTATTAATGTGTTATCTAATAATTTACTTACAGTTACTTACAGTTATGTGTTTGTCTTCAATATTCTGGCGAAATTATGAGTATTGCTGGGGCTTTTCATGGGGCCCAAAATCCCTGGTGGTCCCCCTGGGTATAAAATACCCCAGTATAGGTCTGTGGAGCAGTGGAATGCCAGTCTTTGGAGTGGAGGACCAGTGATAGTTTTGCGATGAGTTGGAGTTCCAACATCTAGTTCAAGGCCTTTCCAGACAGGCTGTTACAAACTCCATATTAATTCCCTTGATTTTAGAAGAAATGTTGGATGATCAGGTGTGTACAAGCTTTTAGACATAGTTGAGTACAGGTAATTAATTTTTAATTCTTTCTTAGACACAGACAATTTCACAAATTCACAGCTCCAGACTACAATAACTGTGTAACTGCCCAATTATCAGGAGATCATGATGAGTTAAAATCCCTGCAATGCCACAGCCGTTTGTGATGAGGAGTCTAAGTGGAGGAAGTCCTAACTCTGAGTTCTAATTTTGATGTTTCATGTAATGTCAATATGGTAGCTCTTCTTACCCCAGGTTAAGCTATGCATACATAAAACTAGGGATAGGTTGTTGTACATGCATAGGTAATATTTGTAATATATCACATTATCTAAACAAGTAACAGTAGGGATAAACCACGCTATACACACAGTTGTCTTCAAAAGCAACCCTGGTCAGTTCACATGTTTTGTTGCTTTTGAAGTGTAAATAAGTTAACACATTCTCTACAGAGAATCACTTCTGCACATTTTAATGTATACCTAACCGTTTATTTACTGAATTTAATGCATGGGGGAAGGAAGAGGACATAAAATGTGGTTGAGAACATTATGGCACATTTAAGTTGTGTTATTTTCATTTAGAAAAACAGCATCTCTGCATCTTTCATGGAGGACAACCGCGAGTGTTCCACACCCCTGCAGAAGTCGGGTCATTTATCAAGGACTTGAAGTCTAGAGATGGGGACAAACAGCCAGCAAACTCAGATAAGTAGAGAGACCATTTCTCAAAGAAGGAGGCTCTGACTTCACGACATTAATGTCACGTTGATTTGGTTCATTTAGTGGGAGTTCCAGTTTATATTAGCCCAACCAGTTTGGTGATTGTTTAAGTTACTTGTTGTCAAAACAACAAAACATGTGTTTGTTTTATTTGGTGACATATAAATGTTTTATCATTTAGCTGTTGTGTAGACACGTGGAACAGTACAATACTTGATTATAGATTGCTCTTTAAAATAGTGCCAATTGTTTTCTGATCGTCTCGTCTGTTGGGGGGGGGCGGGGTTCACTGATTTGGAGTAGTAGTGTTCAAGTGCCGTATCAGCTGATTTCATATAAAATGTGCAACATGACATACATGTTCGACTTTGTTGGTAATAATTTTTTTTGCCATGTACTCTAAAGTCACGGATGCAACGTTTAAAACAAGTAGCCTTTAGTCATGGTTCACATTTGTGGAATGTCAGGAGACCAAGCAGACATGCTTAATTAAAGCAAGAAATGACACAAATTAAAAACAACAGTGCTTCAATAGTATTTGTTACTAGGTGATTTCTTAAAAATAAAAAGATGGCCAAGTCTTTTTTATATTAATCCACTAATCTCTTCCTTTCTATGTGAATAAAGTTACCCCAGATAATTTAGGAAGATTATTTTATTGTAGAAGGATCCCTGATAGAAACAGATATAAATCGAATTAATGTGTTGGGTTCCAGTGATGACTTACCAAAATTTTATGATACTTTATTCTAAGCATCAGTTTCTTTGTCAGGTAAATTATCTATTAGTGGAGACTTCAACTGCACATTAGATCCTGTGTTTGATCGATTGAAAGATATAAATAACACGCATTCACAGTGTCTCACACAATATGAGAGAAATCTAATGTTTAATTAGTAAATTTAGTCTAGGGTTAGCTTTCTTTTCTTTCTTTATGATGGAGAAGATTAGAGAATAAACAAACGAAATGAGACCAAAGTGTGTTGACCTTCATAAATCAGGCAATGGCGTTAAAACTACATGCCTAAACATGCCTGTATCCACAGTAAGGAAAATAGGTAAAAGTAAACAGCTGGAGCTGTAGTGAACCTGCCTGGAAGACTGCATATGTTTATTTTACCCCCACACACTGAGAGGTAAAAACTTCTACAAGGATCACAGTTGGAGATTTGAAGTTGGAGATGGTTCCATTTTGGGGTCACAGAGTCTGCAAAACTACAATTGTACACCACCTCCCCCCCACTTTCCCCTAACCACAAACATAAGCACCTGGAGTTTACCAGAAGCTACTGGAACTTTAACAATAACCAGTTTCTGTGGTTAGATGAGGAAAAATATAGACCTTTTTGGTGACAAACACAATGGGTTTGGCAATTGTAATACAGAAAAGAGCCCCATCCTAACTGTTATGTATGGTGGAGCATTTGTGGAGTTAAGGCAGTTTTTTCTCCAAAGGCATTTTGCTGTGATACATGCCATCATGGAATCCATGAAGTACCAGGAGATTATAAATGAAAATCTGCCTCATCTAAAAGCACAAACTGGGTTGTGGTTGGATCTTCCAGCAGGACAATGATCCAAAACACACATCCAAATCCAAACAAAAGTGGTTAAATGACCACACAATCAGGCTTTTGACATTCTGGCCTAACCACACTGGAAACCTATGGAGTGATCTGAAAAAGAGAGCCCAAGAGAGAGTGCCTAGGACCATAGATTGAGAGATTCTCTCAGAAAAAGGGTACTAAACTGTCACTGGGCAGTACCCTTTTTGTCACTGGGGGTGGTACCCTTAAGAGTACATCTCAGTACCTTTAGTCAGGGAACATATTGTACCATAATCCATTGAAATTATATTTTGTAAATTGTATTGAATCCACACACCCCATCTCATCTACAATCTTTTTATTTTATTGTTCTGTTTTAAAACTTTAGGTTCTGAAAAGATACAAATACATACTTTTTCAAGATAAAAAAAGTATAAAAACATATTTAAGGTACACAATTGGACCTTAAAACCACTTTTGTACCTTTGAGGGAACATTTACATTGTTTGTACCTTGATGAACAAGAAATGTACTTGCACTGTACCTTTATTTCTAACACTGTATGAGGAGTAATGGTCTCAGGTTCCTTGCTTTATAAGCTCATATCCTACCTGGCTACTATTTTTTGGGTGGTCACTGATTTTATATGAAATTACAACAAGTTAAAGAAGGCCTATGCAGCATCACAATGGCAGCAGGTGTGGAAATGTTTTTTTTCCATTTATATCTTACCTCTGAAGACGCAGATCACTGCCAACAGGAACAAATCAACTTTTTAACTCGGGTGGTTGACATTTTACATTTAGCTTTTAAAATGAGCATCTTCTACTCTTTCAAAGTTTCAGGTCTTGCTTTTACAGATTCCTCAAGCACATGTTCTGAATACCTGGAGCTTCATATTCAAAGTACATTCACAGGGACGCTAGCTCAATGCTAAAACCCTGAAAGTTTCAGTGAGATCATGAAGGATAGTGTAACAGTTACCAAACAGTGATTAGAGGAGAAAAATAAACTGATGTTTAGGAAAGAGGTGGAAAGCATCAGGATTATGATCGACCATAATGCAAAATTGCGCCATGTCCTAACAGCAAACTGGCGTTTAAATGTAGTATCGCAACACATTGCAAGGCCTTCAGGACATCTACAACAGAAACATCAAGTGTGTGTCAAAACTTAAACAAACCACAGACCTCTCAAAAACCGGACAGAGCTGTCCGGCTGTGGTTTGAGGCATGAATATAATAGAGTTTGAAAGGGGTTATGTTTTACCCCCACATTTAACATCAGTAATCTAAATTACATATTTAAAACAGTATTCAATGCTGTGGCAGTGGGCAGCTCAGTTATACTCACTTGTATCTACTTAGCTAACTTAACTAGCTAGCTAACACAAAACAAAGGGTATTCACCTCTACTTTCCAGCACTTTGGCTGTTTTTTCTCCAAATTGTTTGCTGGAAAGGTTGTAGAGAACTCTCTCTTCT